GACGAGGGTCATCTATGTGGTCAGAACCTAAATGAGCAGCGCCCTCCATTCACAGCCTACCAACGGGTTGCTATTGGTTCTTGTGGCTTGCTGATTTACGCTTTGGAAGGTCTAACCGAGGAGTCAGATGATGATACTGGTCTTTAATACACGGTCTACTTTTATAATACGGCAAACCCCTTCAGAGGGATGGTTTATTTTGGAAGAAAACCGATGAGAGCGGCGGTGAACCTTGGTACATTGGTCGAGCCTCGGGCTTTAGATTTGCTACCCTTTGGAAGGCACAACCTTGCTGCATTATGTTCGGTGTGTTCACTGCTTCGCCTCCGGCCGGCACAGCGGATCACCCTCGTGATTTTTCTGTTACCATTGAGAAATATGAGCTCCTCACAATAGAGGATCCTCATGGAAAGAAAGAGCTGCTGCCGTGTGAGTAACCCAGCTCTGATGTCAAGTAGTGATTGTTCATTCCTAAATGCTTGTCCAGTTTCCATTTTGCTGAAAAAAAAAATCTCCGAAAATGTGGAGATTACTTCGTTTCTTGGTGCTCAACATGCATTGACCGTACCGTACTGGTTTGTGCTTAATTTGATTGGTGCTCGACTTCATCTTGATTCATTTTCAGGATGAGGAAAAATGAAATTCTAGTAAAATTCATCATTTCATTTACGCGGTTGAAATCGCTAATGGATAATTTTTCTCTTCGAGTTTAATGGAGAAACAACCCTATATATTGTCAAGTTTTTTTTTTTTAATCCTTGACAAATAAAATTTCCACTTCGGGATTTTCACCCAATAGGTTCAAAGTGAAGGAAGAGATTTTATCTAATGCATATTGTAAAGTTACAAAGCATATTATGTAATTTTATGATCATATGGCCAAAGTTTGGAAATTAAACAATTAATTCAAAATCATTACCGTTTTTCTCCGTTAGGAAAAGGGCTGCAACTTCAAAAGAGGCAAGCAAATAAAGACTTTTCAAAAGAGCTTAAGCAATGTAAAACTCATTTTGACTTTTCAAATTTTTTCCTTTTTTTAAAGAGGATTAGTAGTGTTTCTCCACTTATCCCCTTCCTAACAAAATTTGAGTTTTCAAAAACATAATCTAAAACATGATTTAAAAGCATATTATATGATTATGGGATATAACCAAAATTTGAATATTAAACAATTCAAAATCACTACTTTTTTCACCATTTACAAAAGAAGCAGCAACCTCAAAAGAAGCAGATCAACAAAGACTTCAAAAAGACACACACACACTCATTAGTTGTCCTTCAACTGACATAAATGATATGACAGATGACCAGAGGTTCCTAACAAAATTTGAGTTGTCAACAACATTACTTTAATACTACATGATACTATTAATGGGGAATAAGAAGAGAATGTTCATAGTTCTTTTAATTTTAAGCCATTAAATTGATAATCAAGTATACTGTTTCTCCAAATCTACATGTTAACCATTTAGATTTAGCATAATATCAACCCATTGGTAGTCATTTTAAGCAATCGAAGAATATTTATTAAATATAGTATTATAGATGAAATACTATGAAAAGCTATATATCTTCATAATAAACCTTATAATTTACTAAACCTTCAATCCAGCCCTTAGACACGTACGTCTTTCATGATTAATTTACTAACTGAACCTTATAATTTAGACAACTAACGACGTACATATACCAATTTCATTTTTTCTAAGGCAGTACCAAGTTCGTATTGGACCCATGCCGGCCTCAAGAGTAGTTGAATTAATCGAAATTAGCTGTATAAACATTATGGTTTGTTAGACTCTAAAATCTTGCTAAATTCGTTGTCGCATTTGTGACCTTAACCATGGCTTCTCATGCCAACCCAGATTCCAATTACAATGACTTCAACCAATTTCTTGGTCAAATAAATTCAGTTCCTCATCAGAGATTGATGAAGAGGAGGATGAAGCTCCTCTTGGGAGCAATGAGGTCTTGATCAAATAGAACAAGAAATATTTCAAAGATTTGCCTAGCAAATCCATCTGCAATTAGTTTGTATTAATTTGATCACACATTTTACAAAACTCTCAAAATCCAGTTAATCAAAAGAGGAAACTTGTCAGATATGTTCATGTCTGGTTCCTTCAAGAAATACAAGGATTTGAAGAATCAGGCTTCGAGGGACAACATGGAAATTGGTGGAAGGCTGTCAAATGATGCTAGCCATCTCGATCGTTTTATGCATGAACTCGAGATCGTGAAGGAAGACGTGAAAAGCATGGATAAGGTCCGCAATAGGCTGAATGAAACGAACGAGGAGAGCAAAACCGTCCCGGATGCGGCAAAAATGAAAGAACTCAGAGCCCGAATGGATTCAGATGTTGATCATGTCTCGATGCTGGCCAAGTCCATCAAGAAAAGAGTCGAAGCTCTAGAATTCATGTCGTCCACCGATACCATTGACCGAACCATGATTTCCGTGGTTATGGGGCTTGGAAAAAAACTAAGGGACATGATGGATGAATTTCAAGGGCTGAGAGTCAAAATGGCAACTGTATACAAAGAAACTGTCGAGTCCAAGTACTACTCAATCACGGGAGAAAAGAAATTTATAGAGGCCATCGAGAATTTGGCATCCAGCGGACGACTTGAGGATTCTCTGGAAGAGGCAATCCAGGAGCATGGGAGAGATAGAGTAGTGGATTTTTTTCAAGAAGTTCAAGAAAGGCGTGAAGGTTCGAAGAATATGCAGAGGAATTTGGTTGAGTTGCATCAGGCATTCTTGGGCATGGCTGCTGTAGTTGAGGGATTTGGTCAGAAGGAGAGCAAAAGTGGCGGCTTGGGTCGGGAAAACCAAGTGGTCCGTGAGAGTTCCTTTATGAAATCAACTGGGGCGGCACAATTGCTAGACCAGCCTGATCATTATGATATGGAAGCCAGAAGGCGTGCTAAATTTGCTATAGCAGGAGCTGTCACTCTTGTTGTCATGATCCTTATCCCACTCTTCGTTAATGAGTCTTTTAGGGATTTGGAATAGATATATCTACCTAAGAGGAGACTTAATATTGAGATGCCCGTTGTGTGTCCAGCTTTTTTTCATGATATTCGTCATTTGCAAGAATAAATCTCCACATTATTGACTCACTAACTGTGGGATATAGTTATTGATGTATTCCATGTTGGGAAGTTAGGGGGAAAATGAAAAGAAAAGTGATAGTATATCAAAATGCACCCATTGACAAAAGGTACCGATTGATTAAGGGGGTACCTATTATTCAAAAGGTTTCTATTTATTGAAAGGTATATATTGACAAAAAGTTACCTATTCATTAAGAAATGTTGATGAAGATGTATGTACATGTCTAAAGAGACGTATTTTCATAAAGGGGTATCTAGACTATAAAAAATAAAAAGATCTAGACATCATTCACTCACTTTTAACTTTTACTTTCATTTTTCTTTCTTCTTTTACTAATAAAAAAAAAACATAAAATTCCGTAAATATTCTTGAGAGAGTTTCTTTGTATTGGTGCAAGGAAATTCTAGTTTCTGGCATTGTAATTCTTAGATGGAATTGCCACAAACTCGATAGCAAGTAGCGGGGGCAAATTTCCTCAAGAAAAGTGAATCTATTCACGTCAAAACCACATCTTGTATTCTATATTTGTAGTTATTTTTCTAACACAAACCAGGGGACATTCATTCCTTAAAAGAAAAAAAAAAATTTACTACCATGTTTCTTTTGAAATATTGATGAAACACACGACTACCTCTCCAATCAGATGTAAGGTGTACTGAAATCTGTAGTAATTGTTTAGTTGCTCTCCTCTCTTTATATTAGCTTTGTAGACAAAGAACAGTATTAGATAATCGTCCATTCTCATGAAAGGTCTATCTATTATGTTCAATCTTAATACTAGTTCCAATGACCAATGCAAAGGAAGCAGTAGAAAATAGGCGTGGCCAATGAGAGGGTTGGCAAATTTTGCACTTTCAATCAGACATAAATTGGATCGCGTGTATGAATACCGAGAAAGATTTTACATGCAAAAGTAGGCATTCCAATCTTTATTGTATAACTGATCCTGGATTTGATAAGATGGCAAAAGTTTCAGAAGCACCGATAAATATGTTGAAATTGATGTGGATTCTTGATCGCTCCGATGACCATTGACGTAGCAGTTCAAACCGACCGCCGAAAACTTGGCTTCTGGATTTAACTAATTTTAGCCCATTTCGTTCGCAGAATTTCAGGAGCGAGTAGATCATCAGTGTTTGGCTGTTTTTGGGCTGCCAGAGAACGCTGGAAAAAAAAACAACAACAACAACTTCTTTTTGCTTTTTTATTTTTGGAATTGCTTTTTCTCAATGAATTTATCTGTGACTTCTGACGTGAAAATAATAAATAAGAAGTAAGGTTGACTCAGTGTTCAGTTCATAATTCATTTATTCCATATATATATATATATATATAACTAATTAAGTTACTGTGCTGTACAATCTACAACATTCCAGTTAATTGACAGTTATATCAACCTGTAATTATTTCGACAAGAATTTAGTCTAAGAATCTTAAAACCAAGATACCTTGTCATAGTTTATTCCTAGAAATCCTTTTTTTTGTTTTTTAGCAGAAGAGGGTTGGGAGATTTGAATTCAGAACCTCTAATTTCTAAATCTATTTAAATTCGTTTTCTTTCCCAATCAAGATATCTTGTCACATTTTATTCTTAGCAATTATTTATTTATTTATTTTTTGAGAAGGGGATGGTTGTGGTCTATTAAGTTCTTTTTCTTATCCGATCAAGTGGTCCATTATGTTTTTTACTTCTCATGCCAAGTGGCTTTCCGTGTCGGGCCTAACGATGCAACAGGTTATGAATACGGATGACTAGCCAGTGTCACAACCCAAATGGAGGAAATTAAAGAAAAAATAAAGAAAATATATGCATAATAGCAAGTAAAGATAATACTCCAATTCAAGTATTCAATAACTATTAAAAAGTTAATAGGCTACTAAGTTTTCATTGATGTAAAACATAGATAATTAACAAAAAAAACTTTGCATGTTCATGTACATAACTCTTTGGTTGTATATGTAATTGGTCCCTGTCTTATATCCCTATACCAATTAGACATGGAAAAACATCACTGAACTCCCAACCATTTTAACAAGTCAATCAAAAACTTCTATACACAACTTTTCATTTTTTTTTTTTTTGGGTTTTTGTGTCAATTTTTTCTTTGCTAAAAAGAAAATCCTAAAATTAGTAGTATCAAATTTAATTGGCCCCACGGTTGATCATTTCCATGTACTGGTTCAACGACTCTTGCCTCTGCAGCCTCATATCTTCATTGAATTTCTTGATGAATGCTTCGACTCGGCGGTTCAACTCGTCCTGACCCGGCGAAGGCTCCCTACTAATCCTCCCAGGAACCGGAGACAAACTCGCCGGCGGCCCGGTGGTTTGTGCGTCATAATAATTGGTGCGGTCTCTGAAGGTCTGTGATTTGGGCACGTGGTCCGGAGTGAAGTCATGCTCCGAATCTAATGATGGGTTTACCAAGACCTCCCGCCCATGATTCTCCCACGTGTCAGATCTCTTCAAGTGCCTCGTGAGCGGCACGTGACGCCCATCCGTTATCATCTTCCACGTGCTCTCCAGCGTTTCATCCCTCTTTGGCCTTGCCACCCTCAGCGCTCTCCCACCTTCCAAATCAAAATAAAAAAGAATAATTAATAAAAAAGAATAAGAGCTAAATGGAGTAACTATTTGACCACCTAACCTAACTACTTCAAATGAAATTTTAGGCAATTAACAAAAATTAGAAGACAAGAAACCTTTGTGGGCCAATATGGTAGCAACTACTAATAAGTGCGTGCTTATCTAATGTAGCCAAACATAGCAAATTTCTTCTGTCCATACGTAAACACAAAAAAAAAAGTAAAGGACAAATTAAATTTCGTAGAGTTTTTCCGTGAAACTTCTGCATTAAAAGATGGTCAAACTTAGGACATCCTTAAAAATGGCTAATGTTTACAACCATCAAGGAAAAGAATGAATGCACAATTACAAGATGTAATATTACCGCAAAATTTCAATTTTTTTTTTAAATCTTTCATATTTTCTTATTCATATCCTTTTCACCTCTAACTGCTAAATTTCAAATTCGAACTCTCTGCACCGACCTTATAAGCACTCTAACAGTACACTCTACAAGTTCTCTCCTGATCATTAATGGATCAACTGCAGCTGTTACACCACAAAATTTCGTTGCGTGAGTCCACAATTTAAATCTATATAGCGTCCTTAATAAATTACTGCGTGGTAGTTGACTTGTCTTGCTACCAATAGTAGGGTTAAAATTGTAATAGTAGTAGTAGAACTTAAAAAATGGGAAAAAAGTAGTAGTAAAATAAAAGACGGGAATTTTTAATTAGTAAATTGAGTTTATACCTTCGGGACTGGTTTTGATAGGCTTCCTGTGACCAAATCTCGACGCAGTTAGCGGTTTCTCTTTTTCCGGCAGGAGAAGATCCAGGGGAGACTCGGGAGAAACCATCTTCTGAGACGGAGTGGCACTAGACTCCGAAACCACCCATTCATCATTCGCCACGTCATCAGCATCTTCAGTTCCTCCAACGGCCTCAAATTGAACACCGTTCACCACCACGGGCTTCAGCTCCACAACCTTCTCGTCCTCATCTTCCTCTTCATCTTCAGCTTCAGCTTCAGCAACATACACCTCCACCACAGGCGGCGGAGGCAGCGACAGCGGCCCCGGAGCTTCCACTGCATTCCTATTCAGCTCATCCTCCCGCTGAGCCAATACTACCGCGGCCACCACATCAGACGGCGGAGGTGTTCTAACAGAAATCAGCGGCTCACGTGATTGATAGGAATCCGAGTTTTTGGATTGGTGATGATGACTGAAGCGGGAGGAGGCGGCGATGGTGATGATAATAACGTTGATGATGAAGTAGAGGTAAGGAGGCTTGAGCCAGGTCACCACAGATTTCCAAACTACAGGAAGGTCATAACAGGTAAAAGCTGTAATCGATGGAACAGAGAATATCATCCCCATAGCCATGGAAATGGCTCCCGTCGAAATCAAGATAATTTTCAGGGAAAGTAGCAACGTAGTAGGAAACGACATTATTTTTTTTCTCCGATTTGTAATTTCCAACAGACCAGAGAGTGGAGTGTATATGCTTAGCTTTGAGTCTGGGGAACTTTTCCTTCCAGGTTGCATGGTTTTGTGGGAGGTGGGTGGCTGGGGATATAAATAGGGGTGGGGAAATGGACGAGGGACCGGGGAGGAGACGTGGTAAGTGGGATTTGATGGAATGAGGGCCGTTGGATATAAACATGGGGTGGGGACCTGGAGGAAGGACTAAGGAGGAGACGCGGTAAGTGGGATTTGATGGAATGAGGGCCGTTGGATGTGGGAATGGAATGGAGTTCGTGAGTTGGAGCTTGGGGGTGCAGCAATGCAACTTGCAGAGGAAATGGGGGGTGGCCCACGTGTGAGAAGATGAAGTGATTAATTAGTCAAATTAAGGATAAAGTGATTTCACTTTAGTTAATTAATGGATTTAACGATCAAATACTTTGTATTATGAAACTAAGAGACAAATTGACAGTTTGTAGTTGTTGCACAAGATTCACACTGAATTTAATGTTTTCAGGACCATAGATTGCTGATACAATTTTTGATAGATTGTTCATTAATACAGTTCTCACATCGATAATGAAATTCAAACACACAGGTCTTTTGCATGAAAATAATCAATTCTTTATATTGGTGAAGCTATCAATCACTTGTTATAAAAGTAACCATTACTCCGATATCCATCAGATTTGCTTTAAAGCATAAATGATACAGTATATTATAACTTGTCAAAGTGTCTTATTCCATTTGAGTTCTTGATTGGTCTATGCTGCTATAAGAACTTTTGATCAAAGGTAAAAAATTTTAGTAAGAGCTGATTTTACCAAAGGAAAAAAGGGATACGCAAGAACCATGAAGCTATTTTGAATTAAGGGATTTTGTGTTCAAAATATGCATAAATTTCAAAGTACCAGATATAATTAATCCTTCTAAGATCGCATATTTGCAAAAGTCTGCCATAACGGTCATATAACAGACTGTTTGAGTCGAGGGCTGGATCCGGGATGCTGATAGCCCGGTCCCATGGTTGCCGGCGGGCTCAATTGGTGGGTAGGGTACACCCCTGACCGACCATTCTTGCGATTTTTGTTTGTCACAAATAAAGGGTTTCTCTCTTCCAGCTGGAAAATTTTTAGAAATGCTTTTCAAAAGTAGAAAAGGGGAATTATTAAACTATTTCCGTTATTAATTGTTAAAGTTATCGTTACTTCAGTTAAAAGAGAACAAAAAGCCAACGGTTTGCAATCTAAATTTCGAAGTTGAGTCTTGATATTCTATTGATTTATTTTGCTTGTCCTGTCCCAAAGCAACATGGTCCGATAAATTAGTTATACGTGTCTAATCTGAAACATACACCACTTAGTGACGCTGGTAGTTTTTTTCCCCTTTTCTATAAGAAGATTACCTATAACCAGCGACTGTGGACCAATAAAAGACATAAATTTGTCTGTAAAAGAAGAATTTTAGTGACGCAGGTAGTTTTTTTTTTTTTTTTAATAAGATTACCTATGTGGACCAATGCAAGAGATTGAGTTTACAACTAATTTAAACCGTAACTAACCCCTACCATCGATGGGAGAAATATTAACATAAAGTTAGGAGAGACTCACACTTTGGTGAGATTTAAACCTATAATATGTAAATCCTTGTAACTCAATCTTGATCAGTAGACTAAGGTCTCGTCGACATTAGGGGTGCTGGCGAGCTCGATCAAACGCTCAACTCAAACTCGAATTCAAGTTCGAGTTTCAATAACTCGATACAGGAACCAAGTTGGGTTTCAGTCTCTCTTTGTGCTACTTGAGTGCTAGTCAAGTAATCCGATTAAGTGTTATTTTATATATTTATTTTGATTATGAGATGACCAATAAAGGTTTATGTTTTAGATAATTTACGTGAAGTTTTGTAACTTGATAAGATTGGAGAATAGTATCGAACCTTATTAAATCGAGTTCGAGTTTTAATTGTTCTTCTCTCAAATCGAATCGGGTTATATAAATTTCTGCTCGCTCAAGTCGAGCTCGAACTCAAATAAGCTTGTCTATCATCGAATTCAAACTCAAGCATAGCACAATTGGGATTCGAGTCGATTCGATATCACCCCCTAATCGATGTGAAACTGATAATCGATAAGATCTCCTCTCGAAAAATTGTTAAGTAATTTGGTTAATTCTCACCGATCTCATTTTTCCTTAACATTTAAGCATTTGGAATCAATCCATGCACTTCTTTTGAAGCAATTCCTTACTCAATTGACAGGAATTTACCCGTATCTCTCAGGCGAGATTAGAATTACTTTATAACGACATTTACAGCGTTATTAACTGAAGCACGTATAGTAATACGCCATTTAATTTGATATCACATCGTCTCATGATGTAACAGTTTTAGTAGACCTTTTTCAGGGTGATACCTACTAGTCACCAGCTAAATTCCCGAAGATTATCTGCTGTTCCGGCTGGCACCGAAAGGATAGCTGTGGCAGCAGTTTCGTGTTTTGACTAGAATAGTTATTGAAAATCTAGGACTCGCATCAGACCTGTACCGTACATTTGAATCGAAGGTTGATCGAGTGGGGTGATTATGCTATTAAATAAAAAAAAAATCCAGTAAACGTGGAGACAAAATTAAATCGCAATCTTGGCATGTTTCACTCTCTGCACAAGGTGGGGTATTCAATGGCTCATCTAAAAGAAACCATATCCTTAGTTGGAAGTAAGCGTATGACATCTTGATCTTGACTCAGAGTTTGGATGAAAATATTAATTAAGGGTAGTGAAAGATTTAATTTAAGGAAGCCTCATCACAACTCAACATGTAAAAACACTGAACACCATCACTTCTCTGCTTAATCAGAGAAGAAATCTCAAAGATTTCTTGATATTGGTAAATAATTCCCTTCGAATTTTTCATTCCAGGCAATGCTTATTTATTTTCAAGAAAAATGTGGTCTTGATCTGTTTGTATTGTGTGTGTGACTCTGTCCTTCAATATGGAATCACCAGTGTCATTATTTGAAAAAAAAAAAAGAAATAAAGAATGAATAAATAAAATGAAAGAAAGAATAACCGTTCAACTTTTGCTTGCTTTTTTAACCACTAAAACGAAATTCACTTCTGGATAAATCTCAAGCCTTACTCCATAGGAATTGCCACTCCCATCAACTTGTATTCTTTTTTTTCTACGTTGAAGCTCAGGAATGGACGGTGGTGGGAGCCAAAAAAAGTCAAAGACTCCACAAAAACAAATCCATTAACCGACATACAAATATGACTCATTTATCTCATTATCCATCATCTACTATTAATTTTCTATCTTATGTATCTATGCAAATATTTGCATGGGCATATCTATAATGCAAAAAGGTTACATCGAAAAAAAGGACTTCACTCATGCAATCTTTCCTGAGAATCTCCAACAACTTTTTTTTTTTTTTTATCTTTTGCTTTAGTTTCTCTGAATGATTATTTTTGGTCATAGTTAAAGCATCTTTATGACTAACAAATAACTTTTAACCTACATTTGTAAAATTTGGCACAATCATCATTCTGTTAAATATTTGTACTCCATCATAAGCCCAAGATTCTCTTTTTTTCTCTTGACTGTGAAGCATAATGGAATATGCTGCCAGTATATACATGTGAACTAGTCAATAACGTGTAGAATTTTACATACGTACAGAATACACGTACAGTATATGAACTTTCTTGCTTACTTTGGAAGTCAATTAATTAAAAAGGAAAAGCCCAAATTTCATACCACTGCTCTCGTGAAAAGGATCTTCGAAATACTTACTCTGAATATTCGATTCAATCCTCCTAAACCCTATCTAAGCTAATTAGTCCAATTGGGTAGATTGCATGTAAATTCACTTTTCTTGTCTGAGATAAACATTTTAAAACATTTCAACAGAAACTAAAATAAATTAGATGTTGTATGACTTTTCCAAGCAAAAGACTTGAGATCTACCGAAGAATTTTACGTTGGTTCGGTCGAATAGCTGAGGTGCATGGACGAGATTCACCCATTTTATTTTAAACCAGTCACTGATGCAACACAGTAACAGAAGCCTTGGATAAAATAATCTGATAATGAAAGGCAACTAAATTGCTTTGGAACTGGAATCTGATTGACTTTAAATATCAGATCAAGTCAACCCAGACTCGTATGAGTCCTATTCAAACCGTCGGAAGTATCCAACCGCTACTCATTGAGTTGGCATCTTTTCATGTTTACAGCGAGGAAATTTACCTGCGTCGGTTGCGGAGTTGGGTCCATTTCTGTCGTACCATTAGCGTACTGGACTCATCAAAGGTCAGGTGTAACAACGATTGGTTTTCCATTTGAATATTGGAACTTTTAAATCAGATATTTATGCTTTTTTTTTTAATATAATAGAAAAATATATGGCTCTTCCTGTCTTTCAAGCTCCAACTAAACCAGTTAAAAGATGTCAATTTGTTTGTTGGAAAAGATTCCCATTTAGGTTGTAAATTATCGTAGTAGATCCGTAGATGTAGCGAATGGACGTCAGCCAAAATTACGCGTTGTGAAGCGTTGATTCCACAAAGAGAAACTTAGGAGTGAATTTGATTTTCAAGATAATCAGTTTTTTTTCCCTGCCAAATTAATTAGGTTGCTTTGGTGAAGCATTTGATCTTGAATACGTATTTGATCCTTTATTCAGATCAAGAATAGAGTCTGGTGTCGCCAAATGCTGAACTCCTGCACATAGTACTAGTTAACGAAAAATTACTAACTACTAATTTCGTCAAAAGTGATTTTCGAGCGACTAATTTCTAAGAAATTTGCCTGCAAACGGTGGGCTAGAATGATTTGTATGGTAGTATGCACGGTTAGAGTAGAAAATTTCAACAATAAAGCCAAAAGTTTGTCCACTTGTCATCTATCAGACGTTGATAATTTACAAAAGATTAACTTAATCTACTCTACCTAAAGAATAACCGTTAAACTTTGAAAGAACTCTTAATTAAAGTTTTATAGGAAAATAGCGTCCCTAGAACGTCCTGAACGAACGAGTGATGAGAATGGAAACTGAATTTATCCAAACTTTTTATTACAAAAATAAAAGAAAAAGATA